CGGCTCGGTCCTGGGGCCGGCCGCTTCCAGGGAAAACTGTACAGCAGGGCTGTGTTTTCTGCACCCTCGCCCTAACCTCTACCCACTGACATGCACACTCGTAAAAGCAAGGGTTGTGTTGTAAACGCCGTGCGTCACGCCTTCTGACATCACGTCTTGGTTTTGTGAGGTGTTTGTAGGGGTTTAGCCCCTTCACCTTCCTGACCAAGCTGAGTATGCCAGGGCTGGATTTGTCCCCATTCATGATGTAGTGATAAAATCAGGACGTGAGAAGGAAATGTGAATTTGTTTCCTGTTTTTTTCTAAGCAGCAGGAGCTCCGTGTCTTGGCAAATTGACCCCCAGCCCTGGGGGATGATGAGGTGCAGTTCCTCTCTGCTCTCTGGTTGTCTGTTAACAAGAGACTGCTGCGAAACACGTCACATTTCCAAATAAACCGTTAATGTTAACTGTGGGTTGTTGTATATGAGAGATTCAACACTGACTTTTTGGATGATCACTCCTAAGCATTCAGGGGACAAAAAGGGAGGTGTAACTTACAACACTACACATCGTTGTTACAGGGACCTGAAAAGTGAATGCTTTAGTATTTGGGACAAATAACCAAAGTCTTCCCTTTCCTGATTTAAGGTACATCTGTGAAATTTGTCTTCTGTAGGACTTGCAGGGAAAGTGGCACAATATCCTCCTCCAGACCAGGTTTTCTAATGTAATTCCAAGATAATACCCTGCTGGTGACATTTCCTAATAAAAGATGAGATGGGTGTTGGTCCCAGATGGCAATGCTACTTACATATTTATTTAAAAAAAAAAAAATCTGAAACGATACAAACACAGTATACAGAACAGTGGGAAAGTATGTTTTATAAGAGCAAACTATCAATTCTTTCTGAGGTGGGATTTTACTCATGATCTAATGGTCAGAGTTTCCTTTTCAAATTCAGTAGTGTTATTTCATTAGTCCATTTCTATTTGTTTGCCATTGGGAGGCTGTTAAAATTTGTATGGAATTATGTCTCTTTTATTCCCATTATATATCAAAGGATCAAAGATATCTTTGGGGTTTTTTTAAATCGCTAATCATAATTTGCATTCTGTGGTTTTTTGTATATTGTTTGCTGTTAATTTAAGCGTGATCTTTGTGGTCGGATCAGTGCTTCAAAGTTCCACATAGAAATACAGTCAAGTGCACATATAACTGTAAATGCCAGATTGTTTCACTAGAAATACAGTTATTACTTTATTACAGTGACTGATGTATGTGATATTTGTTTATTTTGCTGTTGATGTAGTTGGTAGATCTCAAAGCAGAACTCTTTCGAAAGCAAGAAGAATTCAAGAAAGAAAAGCTATTGAAAGATGCTGGCATCTTTGCAAAGCCCAAAACTTCTAATAAGGTAGAAATATTTTTCCATTGTTGCTTTTGTCATTCTTTCTCCTTAAAGTAAGGAAGTTGATATTCAAATCTAAAGAAATAAATACTCAGAGACGTGTTGCTAATCAAATGTAAAATCTATGTGATGAGGATATTCTTTAAATTTCTATCAACTCATTCCCCAGGGAGCTACAGCTTTTGTAGCTATAGGAAAAGATGTTTCTTTTTTTCCTCCAAGATTTTGTATGCTTCTCTGAAGGATGGAGGATGAGAGACTCTTACAGAATCACTGAACTTTCTTGATAAGTGCTCTGCTATCTGTTCCTCTGTATCATGGTGTACAATAAATAATACACAATTATCTGTACTGCACATTGGTTTTCATTCATTCTGTAGCTTTCTAGCAGTAGAATATAGTATTGCTGCCATATTTGAGACAGGCAGCATTTACAGTGTCAGGCTCTAAACAGGCAAACTGATTGTATTTTGTATCTAAAATGAAGGTAATAGAAACAATTCATACTTTAGTTATCAGGAAGATTGTTCTTATTATTTTTTTTAATTTTAACATCTTTGCCAGAGTAGATTTTGTCTGATTTCTGAGTGCCTTTTTTTTTTTTTTCCCCTCTTGCTTCTCAGCCTGTCCTTAACTAATATATTGTAGTGCAGTTTATGTAGTTTTAGGACAGCAGAGTAGATATACTTTCAAGTCAAACATGTTTAAGATGTTATTTACAAAGTCTTTCATGGTTGATTTCCAAAGTTTACATTATGGAGTTGAAATACTCTTTAATCATTGCCACTTCAATTTTCTTTATTTGTTATTATAAAATTGTACTCTGCAGAAACCAAGCATCTGGAACAAACAAAACACAGGAGTTACAAATCGAGCCGAGAAAGATGTTGAGCAGAAGACAGAAGAGGAGCATATATTAGATAAATCAAGGTAACTCTTGGGCTCAGTAAGAAAGCAAGTTATGCATATTTTGGACCAGCAGTCCTCATTCAACCAACCAGTAAATCCGGCATCAGTTCCATGCTCTTTACCAGCAATGTACAAACTGCATCCCAGCAGTCTTATGCTCTAGGGATATCTGCCCTCACATTATCATAGCTGTCTAACTGTGTCAGGTTAGAGCCAGGATAGAGCTGGTTTTCTTCACAAAAGCTAGCGTGAGGATATGTTTTGGATTTGGGATGAGAAAATGTTGATAACATGCTTATGTTTTGAGTTGTTGCTAAGTAGTCAAGGACAGTCCAGCTTCTCGTGCTGACCTACTGGCAAGAAGGCCGGGGGTGCACAGGAAGCTGGGAGGGGACATAGCCAGGACAGCTGACCCAGACTGGCCAAAGAGATATTCCCTACCATACAATGTCATGCCCAGTACATAAACTGGAGTTAGCCAGGGGGTGGGAATCGCTGCTCGGGGATGGGCTGTTGATCACTGGGTGGTGAGCAATTGCTGTATTGGGCATCACCTGTTCTTGTACATTCCTTTGTCGGTATTATTATTGTTATCACTGTTTTTTTCCTTCTCTCTTGCTGTCCTGTTAAACTGTTTTTATCTCAACCCACGAGTTTTTTCCCAATGCTCTCCCCCCTCCCACTGGGGGAGGGAGTGAGCGGCTACGTGGTGCTTAGTTGCTGGCTGGGGCTAAACCACAATACTGGTTTTTGAAAGTCATCTTTAGAATTAAAAGCCAGGGCAGTGATACATCAGAATTCTGTCGCAGAGTGTTTCTTGGACTAGACAGAAAATGGCTCACTTTTTTGCAAGATTTAACTTATCTTCTGAATTGGTTAGTTGTACAATATGTTGAAAATGCAATTTAGAATCACAGAATCGCAGGGGTTGGAAGGGACCTCTGAAGATCACCTGGTCCAACCCCCCTGTCAAGGCAGGATCACCCAGGGCAGGCTGCACAGGACCGGGTCCCGTCGGGTTTTGAATGTCTCCAGAGAAGGAGACTCTTTTCAATTCAATTTAAGCCATTTTCTGTTTTTCTGTAAGCAGTTCTGAGCTCTTCAAAATTGTTTTCTAGCATTCCAGAAATGAGATAAGATTTTCTCTTCAGTTTCTAAGAATAACTAACTCTGTGTTTTATCTTTCTTTTTTTTTTTTCTGTAAAACACTATTTCAGTATCACATACCTGAAAATAATGGTCTAGCTTCCAATATTTATCTGACAGACTGTAGTAGATAGAGGTGGAGTACTTGTTATGTTATGTTCCTGCGTACTTGACAAATTACACTTAAGATTAGTTCTGTAACTTCACTAAAATTATTGTCAGTATAAATTCTGGAACTGGATATCCGTGTATCTTCAGAAAAGTCAGTTAACGTTCAAAACAAAAAATAAGCGTAAGTCAGCTTCTAGTAAATATTTCAAACACTCCTGGTACTTTCCTGTTCTGTTTATCTAAGGCTAAATTGGTCGTTTGGAACTGTGTTGGGAATTGGTGGGATTGCAATGTTGGGTTTTTTTTCCTTTTTCAGGAAGAAACTAGAAGAGAAAGCAAAGCTGTATGAGAAAATGACAAAAGGCGACTTCCCAGGTGAAAAAAAAAACAGTCTAAAATGAGTACTTATATAAATTTTTTTCTAAAGTTCACCCTAAAAGTTGGCATTTCTGACTGTCGATTTACAGCAGCTACACTATGAATTCACTGCTTGTCTTCTTACATGGGAAATTTTTTTTGAGTTATTATACCAAGTGATTGACATGGGTTATTCTGCTTTGAAAGGGAGAAAAAATATAGGTACTAGAGAAAGTAAAATTACGTTTTGAAGGACAGCCTGTCCTAGTAAAGCACTATGGGCTTGTTCCACTCACTTATTAAGTGGGTGGAATATATTCTGGTTCACAATCTTAGAAGAACAAAATAAATTTACTCGCCGTTATGCAGTCTTTGGATTGCATTGCTGGTTTCCTGTCCTGCATTCTAATTCTTGGACTTTATGGAGAGGAGAGGAGAGGAGCAGAAGTGGAGTCTGGCTGGCCCATACGTGAATGCCAGTCATGCAGCCAATAGGGTTAGATAATTCTAATCTGGCCCTTTCTTCTCTCACTCATTCAGTCCCTTGCAAGACACAGTTATTAAAACAGAACCCAAATCTCCTTGCAGTTAATCTCTAATATTTCCTTTACTAGTGTCCATCTTTGCCACATATGACCCCACCACGTTTCTCTACTTTGTAGAAAAGTACTCTAGTGACTGCTTAACGGCTGCCAACACACCAAATGTTAAGCATCAAATAAGTATTTGAACCCTATACTTCTGAAATAGTTAATGAGAAGGCAATATTTTAGTGCAAAGACTGCAGCCTCTTCTGTATTGTACAGAAATGATTCAGAAATAGAGGTTATTACTGTGGAGCCAATTTATAGTTCCAAGTTTGTTCGGCACTGAATGAGATTTAAGTATTCCCCAACAGTGTGGTCAAAGGGGATTGCTAGCAGCTGAAAAGCTGATTGTGGCTATTTTATATTGATTTTGTGCTCAGTTCTGTCCTTTTCATAGCTGTTATCTAAGAATTGATTTTCTGTGTTAGATGAAGAAACTGAAGATTTGTACCTAGTGGATTTTACTCAGAAGATCATAGACAAACAGCATGAAGTACAGGAACTGTATCAGAGCGAAGCTGCTAGAAAGACTTTAGAAAAAGAGTCAGATGATGAGGAAACTCAACCTGAAATGGAAATACCACCACCTGAGGACCCAGATGATGAATGGTTGGTACTACTGATTGGGCTAAGCTGTCCTGACTAGTCTGTTTCTTGAGAATGATGTGAGAAAATAATTTTATTCTCCAAATTTTTTGTTGTTGTTAATAGTACATATTGAGAAGACGTGGTAACGTTCTTTCATTTCACATCTCATTAAAAGGCAGTCCATCATGTTGCTTTCCTTTTCATGTAGGTAACAGTGCAATAGAATCTACATCCACGATTTTGAGAAATACCAGTCAGGGAGATGTACTATAAGTGAGACATTGTAATATCCTCTCTTATTTTCTTGCATAGCTTATGGGAGTTCTGATTGCAGTATTGATAAAACTCTCTGCTTTGATGTCTTGAATTGAAATGTACTTTAGCAAAACTTAGGGGTTTTATTGTATCCACCTTCCCTTCTCTAATTGTGTGTGACTTACAAAATGAGCAGTCATTTTGGTTGTATGACCTCCTCTTAAAGGAGAGAAACTCCGACTGGAAAAAGAACATGATTTTCCAGCATTTCTTCCGCTGTTTAACTGCAGCACAGCAAATAGTCTGTGACAATTTTCTGTGACGTTCCGAGTAACCACTAGTTTTTCATCCAAGACATTAGGAATAATTATGAAAACAGTCTGACTAAATATTTGCTTTGCCCATTTGTTTAAAATGCTTATGGAACAGAAATTTTACTTCTGGCAATCAATTTAAAACAGCAGTAACCGAAACGAAACAGAGCACCCCCGTTCTCCAGTTTATTAGGCCAAGATAAGATTTGCAATGTAATGGTTCAGAATAAACTGGGAGAATGAATCCAGCAGAGTACCAGAAGAGTGCTAGGTTGGAAAGGCAGATATACCCATTATCAGCATCTTGCTGAAATTCAAGATGAAACTATCAATGAGCGATGGGCTCCAACTGCTTTGTGTCAGAAATTTAAACTGATACATTTTACTGTTCACATGGTGCTTTTCTATCATTGCCTATATCTTACATCAGTGACGTAGTATTATTAATATATTGGCTATCTCAGTGAGACCATATCCTAATGAGGATGTTTGGGTGTTAGCATAATCAATGTTAATTATTCTGCAGTGTTCTTTAGTTACATCTAGTTACATCTTTACTGTAGGGAATGAAGACTTTTTTTTTCTGACTGATGTTACATTATAACAAAAAAACAAAGAGCACTGAGTATATAGTAAGCTTTAGGTATCCTTAGAAATTATGTAAAAGACTTAAGTTACTAAAAGCACAGATCTTTAAAAGTTTGTTTTTTGGGAACTAGATTGCCAGTCATACTTTTTCAGATGCAATATTAATTCTTTTGAATGGGATAATTGAAGCAGCTTGATGCTAAAGAACTTTCTAGTGCTACAGGAAAATAAGTATAGCTTTTAACAGCTTTTTTGACAACTGTAAATTAAGCATTCAGTGCCATAAAGAGTTGAATAAGAAGCACAATGTGCTTCAAAGGAACATTTTGCTTGCATTTTAGTCAGCCTTTGTTATGCTAGTTGAATGAATGCTATCAGCCTATTCTAAATGAGCTTTAGACTGATAATTGAAATATATTGTAGCAATTTCATATCCACAAAAAGTCAATACCACATCATTATTTTCACCGTGGGAAGCAAGTACGAGGCTTAGTTTTATTTTGGTGTGAAAACTACATGACACTAACTTCTGAGCATTTTTTTACACTATGTTATTGCCAAGGCAAACAGCCAGCTCGAAGTGAGATTGAGTAAATGTCTGTGATAAAAGTGTCATATGCCCTGTTCAGAATGTATCCTCTTAACCTGTAGTCTGTTAATTGAATAGTAGAAGAAACTGTCACACCTGGAGGGACTGAGAGGTGATGAACACTCTTTGGAAAGTGTCACTGCTTCTGTCTTCTCATTAAGAGTTCTGTAAATCTGCAAATAGAAGTTCTACATCAAATTTCCTTTGCTTTCATTACAGGGTTGATTATGTTGATTTCTTGGGCCGATCTAGACGCTGTATGAAGAAGGATTTGCCAAGCCTACTTAAAATGGATCAGGAACTTCAAGGGAAAAGGTATGGTTTTTCTAACAGAAGTGCATGTTTCTTGCAGTACTTAATATACGTTTCTTTAATTAGAAGGAGTAGAGGCTGTTCTTTGTTATCCCATTCTCAATCCAAAATTGTTGATGCTACTTTCTCTAGATATACTTCATACCAACTTCTGCTCGTTTACTACACCGTGTCTTAAAAAATAGACAGAGTAGCTACAGAGCAATTGTGCATGACTGTGATTTTATCAAAACTTCCTGTTATAAATTCATGTAGTATTTCAAGGCTTCTGTTTTATTTCACCCTGGCAGTTCACTGTTTGAAATACATGCCTGGTGTATTGGTTTGAAATTGCAACAGAATGGAGGCCATGGATATCAAATAAAAGCCCAAATGAAATTTTAATAAACTACTGAGGCACATTCTTTGATGTAAATGCTGACCAAATCTAAAACCTCACTTACAGAACATAGCTTGCAGAGAAAAGTTCTAATAAATTGACTTGGCAATCTCTCAGATATTTGATGCATCATTTAAAACTGTGGTCCTTGTATGGAAATTGTATTTTATTATACATTCCAGAAAATGCCAGAGAAGTGATTTCTGGTTCTGTTTAACCTGGAAACTGATTATAGTCTTTTAGCAATTCCAAATTCATCGTGGCGTTCAAAGTGAATTTGTTAGATCTTCATTTGTTTGGTTTTTGCTCTTCTGTTAAACAGCTGTTTAACAGCTTTTCTGGTAAAATTATTATGGCAGCACTGAGAATTGTTTTCAGAAAATAATCTAAAGGCACCTCAACTGGGCCTTTACTGTTGCTGAAGTGAAAATTCTTTCACACTAACAACTCATTAGTGTTCTCTGTATTTTAAACATAAATGGAGAATATGAGCGCTTTGAAATTGCAGTGTCTGCATTGATATGGATGACAGTCACTCAGCAAAACCAGCTTTAGCTACACAATGAAAGAAAAAGATCCTGCTGCTTCTCTTGGGAAAACAAAAATATTTCCGATATTGGGTATTAATATTTGGGATGAACTTCTAGGGTAAATTAATGCCTAGCTTTTTTTTTTTTTTTTTTTTTCCTTTTTTTTTTTCCTTAATTCTCTTCTGTTAAATCTGAAATGTTTCTATATGTGATTGCTAGCACCCCAACAGATGCCAATAAAAGTGATTAGTGATTCTTTCATCTCCCATTCTGTGATTTGCTAATAATTTCATAAAGCCTGTAGGAAAGGATGTGATTTTGTTTCAGTCTTTTAATACCATGTTCTACTGGTACCTTGTTTCAGAGGTAGTTTTGTATTCCTGTCTTCACCATGTACCATAGTTATCAATGCTGCATCACTAAATGGTGCCTACAATGATCTATGTTTTGTAAAAACTACAACAGTGGCTCAGACCCAATGATACTTTCACTCTTTGATTCCCTAAAACCTGGTAAGTTCTGCTCTGTAATCCCTAACATTTTTTTCTTTTTTTTCCTCCCTTTTTTCTTTTTTTCCCCCTTTTTTTCTATTTCCCCTTTTTTCTTTTTTTTCTTCTTTTAAATTAGACAAGGTCCTGATGGGAATACTCTGTTATCTGAAGATATGAGAAGAGAACTTCAGAGGCAGCAGTGGGAAAAAGAAGAAGAAGAAGCCCTTAGAAAACCCATGGGACCCATACATTATGAGGACATTCGAGAAAACGGTATACTTCCATACTTCATATCACCTATCTTTATTATCACAAATCAAAGAGATTGGTTTTAAAGGAAGCAAAGGAAGGTTACTTCTTGTGTCTTTATGACAAAATTCAGGTATGTCTTAAGCCACATGTGTAATAACAATTTAAATTACCAGTACATAAATGTAGATTTTTCTCAAATTGTATTTTTCAAATGTCATTACATCCTCCTGTTTTCTCCTTCAGGAAGCTTCACTTCATGCATCACCTAAAACAAGCCTATTTTAGCCATCTAAAACTAATGCAGTGTATGTTTTTGGGAGTAATTTAGTGCCTGAAAGCAGGGTACATGGTACTTGTAGTTACTGTCAATTATAAACTGAGCGTAATTTAAATTTACTGATTTTCTTCATTTCAGAGGCCAGACAGCTTGGTGTTGGTTACTTTGCCTTTTCTCGTGACAAAGAACTTAGGAATAAGCAACGGGCAACACTGGATATGCTAAGAGAGCAGGTATGAGTTTAAAGAGCAAATTGGGGTGTGAGGGCATCCTAGTTTCAGTGGTGGCTGTATTTGATTTGTTGTGTAAGTCTTAGATTAGGTGATGCCTGCGGCTGACTCCAAAAAAATTGGGCCTCTTTTTCCCTGTTGAAACATGGTACTTGATAAAGAATTGCTTTTAGTCATTAGTTAAGGAAGATGTGTAGTTGATTTTAATAACAAAGGAAGATTAATTCGTGTTTTTCTTTGCTGTTAAGACACTTGATCAGAGAACTAAACGTGAGCAGTTAAAAGAAAAAAGGAAGGCTGCTCTAGATGCCAGGCTGTCTAAACTTCGAGCACGGAAGATTAAGAAGTTAAGGGAAGCTGGATTAGAGGAAGAGGCAGAAAAACTAGAGAATGGAGGTATGATCTGCTGCCTTTTTAGGTTAAATACTTGCTATTTCATCTTGTACTGGATTGATGCACAGGCATACTCTTAAGTGATTTAGGTTTGGATATTTAATAGATTTGTATTATGTATTCTATATACACAATTAATATAACTGTTAAGATAGTGTGAGTTCATATAATTGTGTGTAGATATAAAATCATGCCAGAAATAGCATAATAATGCACGTAGAAATGTGATATGTAGATTGTAGGCTTTTTTTGATTCATGCCTGACAGCAGGAGTTATGTTGGTCAATTATGCTGGTTCAGGTTAGAGCTGAGCTACTGTCTTTTTCTTTTTTTAAGATGAGGTGGAACAAAAAGCAGTAACAAGTTAATTTTGATACCATATAATAGACACTCTTAAAGTTTCAGTGCAGACTGTAAATTGGACACACAGCTGACATCAGGATTTAGGATGATGAATTTGAGTTCTAATCCCATCTCTGTCCTGTCTCCCTTATGACACTGTTAGTCAACTTGTACTGTCTGTCTCACACTGTAAAAGGTAGCTAATATTTCACTATGTCAGAATTCTATGCAAGTGATGAATTGTGAAGTGTTCTGGAAACAAAGAACAGTAATGTGCCACTGCTAACTGTTACTGTTGTTCAGAAGAATAAGAATGCAAATAGTTTTCTCCAGTAAATGAAATGGAGATTACATGCTAATGTTTTTATTTTTACCTGATTTTCTAGCTTCAGTATAACACTTAGCACATTCCTTTTTGGGTTATTAGGCAATAGATTTTCAGCGGTCTTTTTGATCCAACTAGAAAGCTAATGAAGTGTCTCTTGGTAGATAAGCTTCCTGATTGTCTGGCTTATCCATTAACTTTTCTGAACTAATATGCAGTAATTAAAAAAAAAAAAAATCACCTCCCCACTCAGATGCATTATTAGGATGAAATTAGATCGCTAGTATGAGCTCTATAAATGCAAATAACTCTTGCTTCCTATTCCTCCTATGAAGTTCATCTAGATTTTACCCCATTAGTAACAAAAACTACTATCTCTTTCTGTAACATAGAGTTGAAAGGCGTTACTGATGAACCGGAAGCTCCAAGAGTTACTGCAAGTAGAAAGGTAGAGGTTGTCATCCAGGAGAGAAGAGATACAAAGCCTGGCGTGCCTTATGTCCGAGAGTGGGATAAAGGCAAAGGTAAGGAAATATAGATTCAGAAACGTCATTTGGAAGCAGTGTGCACACTGCTATTTTAATTTCTATTTTGTGACAAAGTATGGTAAGACAGAGAAGCAATTAAATACTTTCTCCCTTTGTATTGCTGACTATCTAGTGGCCAGCGCAGTGATTGACAACGCATGCCTTAGTGCCAGTAGCTGCTCTAATGTCCCCATAATGTTTTCTTCTGTATGAGTTACTCCATTTCTGGATGATCCAGAGATGTTGACAGAATGACAAATTCCATAGTTCCGTAAGATTTATTGTCTTTTGGTGTGATGTTTTCCTTCTGTAGTTTGTGCTATGTGATGGCAGGATGTATTACACTGAAACAGGTACAGGATCATACCAAGAAGTGATGCAAGCAGAGACCACTTCAGTGCCAATGTCCCATCTTGAAGCATCTTCCTTATCACAACATCAAGTGATGGCTCTCTTCTAGATCCTTCCCAAACCCGTTAACTCATTTTGCATCAGTTACCTAAGCTCATGCACATTCTTGTAGTCTGATGCCTGACTTCTATGTAGAAGCAAACAAGGAATAGGGAAAGCACATAAATGTCCACCTTCTTTAGTACTCCTCTAAGAGCAGCATTCCTATTCTGTGCAATACTGATACTACCAGCTTCTATTTACTTTTCACAGTCTCTCTTTGTGTTCAGTTAATGAACATTGTTGTGAGGGGAAACTGTGGTTCCATTAAAACCCAAAACTTTCAGGTCCTATCTGTTAAATCTTTATCCTGCCTGACACTGTTTTTTTTCCTACCTCTGAGGAATCCTAGTATCTGATTGACACTCAAGCAGCACTGTACTACACAAAAAATATTACACTCGGAAAACAGAGGACAGTTTACTCTAAAATGTGAAGTAAAATAACAGTGGTTCACTGAACATAAATGTAACACAACCATTTAAATGAGCTTAAGAAGGGGTAAACAAAAATCCTCACTCTTAGATGCTTTCCTCCTTACTGTTTCATAATTTTTTATATTTTTACCAAAGCAAAGGAAGAAGTCCTGCTCTGATTGGGGCTCTATTTTGCTACATCAGAGAAATGTGTAGCCCTTCTGTGTCAAAATTTTCTACTTAATTCTTTTAGAAGTCTTGGTAGACATTAATACTGAAAAGAATTTTACTGGGTTTATAGAGAGTAGGCTTGGGGGACATCTTTGGAATAGGTTTGGGGGATATCTTTTTAGTTGTGGTAATCTTGAGCTGTCATTCCATTGCAGTACTTCAGAACTATTTTTAATCAGAAATCGGCAGCTGACATAGTAACTAGAATATCTACCACTTCTATTGAAATAAAGATGTTAATGTTTTTCACCTGTGCCCACTAGAGATAATCTTACCATCTCCATCTTGCAATAACTAAGCTCTTAATGCTTTGATTGGTTTGTATTTTGATTCAACCCTAACTAATTAGTCATTTTTCATAACGAATGACCATATTGTTAAAGGATCTTAAAGTGACCAAGATGAGTTACATAGGAGATGGTGGTTATCTTTAATGCTCAATGCTTTCGTTCCTGCTCTGTAAAGAAAGTGGACTGTCAGCTTAGCCAGCAATCTAGTACTAGATGGAAAAGTAACTTCAATGGCTTTACACAGCTGCCTTTTCTCTGTTTGCTGATTTGTTTTCCCTCCTTTCTGACTGATCTTCAGACATGGAAATCTATATTCAATCTACCATTTTTCCCTGTTTCTAACAGAATTGATGTTTGGCCAATGGTCAAAGAAACAGGAAGAACTCAGAGATGAACGAGATCCAGAATTTGCGCCACCTTCTGATTACTTTATGGGACAAAAGAAAGACGATAGTTACAGAAGTCAGAATTTGAATAGTCCTGAAACCTCCTCTGAAAAACTAGAAACAGAGATGGCACAAAAGCAACAGCTGCCATCAGTGCAGGCCAATGGCAGCAGCGCTGAAGATGTGCCACCGTCGGGGCAGGCTCACCACAGCAGTGTTCAAGATGAGTCAGCATCAACAGAGGCCTGTGGCAATGACACTCAAGATGTGCCATCATCAGCGGAGGATGACAGCAGCGATGATGAGGATATGCTACCATCAGCACAGGCTTACAGCTATTGTGCTCAAGGTGTGCCGCCGTCAATGCAGGCTTACGGCTATGGTGCTCCAGATGTGCTGTCATCAGTGCAGGCTTACAGCTATAGCACTCATGATATGCCATTTCCAATGCAGGCTTATGGCTACAGTGGTCAAGGCATGCTGCCACCAATGCATACTTATGGCTACAGCACTCATGATACACCATTTTCAATGCAGGCCTATGGCTACGGCACCCAAGATGTGCCGCCAGGAGTGCAGGCCTGTGGCTGCAGCCTGCAAGATGTGCCACCAGGAGTGCAGGCCTGTGGCTGCAGCGCCGAGGATCTGCCGCCAGGAGTGCAGGCCTGTGGCTGCAGCGCTCAGGATGTGCCACCATCGGCACAGGCCTGTGGCTGCAGCGCTGAAGATGTGGCACCTTCAGCGCAGACCGACAGCAGTGATACTCAAAATCAGGAACAACTTTACCAAAGTTTAGATGATATGCTGTCTTATTACAGACAAGTGACTTGAACTGCGCAAAAAGATAAGCAAGAATCGTGATCTAAAGAACTGAAATAGAATTACCTTCTCTGCAAGAATACTATTTTCTCCCATCTGGAAAAAATAAGTTTCTGTAAGTAGATGAAAATAAATCTCCTGGAGACCTAAGCTATTTTACATCACAGCTGTACTTTTGCTCTCTTGGTTCTTTTTTTTTTCCCCCTCCTCATTATAATTACGTGATTTTTTTGGCAGTACTTAATTAGTTTAGTACATACTTCATTTTAACTCTTTGCCACTTACACTTGAACTTTGGGGTATATTGATGACTTGCTTTCAGAAGATGAACTCTTCCTTTACTCTGTCACTCCCCAGATAGCTTCTGGTTTGGAGGTACTGTAAGTTCAATGATATCTGTAGAAACAGTACTGAAATGGCAGGCCCTCTGCTGCCAAATACAGAACAGTTTTAGGAAATTTGTTACCTACTTATCTCCTGCCTTTAGGAAGCGCAGAATATTACCTAGTGAACAGTGGTGGTTCACATGATTGTAATGGCTTCTGCATTCCTGAGGTCTGTATATAACTCGTAAGTCTGTAAAGCAAATTAGAGTTGGGAGAGACATTGCAGAAATCAATAAATAATGATTGTTAGACCAAGAATAAACACTTCACTGAAGTAGAAGTCTTGACACCTGAAATTACTGTCTTACTGGTTTAGAAAACGCTCTCATAATTCTCCAAGTGCATTTTTCTTCCATCATCTATTACATTTATGGCTTTATTTTATTCAGTACTTTTTTCCCCAAACTTTTATATTGGAGTCATTATATATAAAAGCAGACCAACCTCTACCAAGCAAGCTTTTATTTCAGAATCTTAGTAAATGAGAATAATACTTATTTACCATGTAGAATATTTTTAGTTCTGAAGGTAATTTAGATAGCCTCATTTGTATTTTAAAAGCTCATACAAGGATGTGACCTAGAAAACCAGGCTAGAATGGGCAATTTCATAGATTACACTGTGTAAAGTTAAATGACAATGATAATGTCAAAAGAGTGAACATTTGAACTAAATAGTGAACATTTGAACTAAATAGTGAACTAGCCAAAGAGACAATGTGCTATTCCTGTGTGCTTCAGTCAGATCTCAGGCTACTTTGCAAAGCCTGGTGAACAGCAATGTGTTCAAGGTGACTGAGCAACCTTAGCAACATGCGGACCATGTTCCCTGTCTCCAAACACTGTTTTAACCTCAGCTAGTAAACACATTTCCATCTCTCCTCTTTCCTGTTCTGCTGGCTTTTGCACAGGAATTTGCAGAGCAGGAATAATACCTCACAGGGAGTAGCACTCCACAGAAGCACCAATGGTGCCCTTTTAAAGGCACAAAATACACCAGTCTTTTATCCTTAGCAAATGGTTATGAGACTGGAGCATTAGTATAACTCTAGGTTTCTGTTTCTCTCAACAGACCTAGAACTTGAGGATAGTTAATGGCCACATCCACCCAAAATGCAGAGAAATCCTTCGATGCAAAGGAACAGGCCCAGGATTACAAACTGAGGCCCTACAGAAAAGCATCTCTCTTACCATGCTAGAGAAGTTCTGACTGTTGGGGAGAGGGTGGCCCGGTGGCGGGTGGCCCCGGGCCGTCTGAGGGGCGACCACCTGCCCTCGCACCTCGGCGTGAGGCGGGAGCCCCTCGGCACAGGGCGCATGCGCAACAGGCGGAGAGGCGGG